GAAAAAAAAAAAGAAAAAAAAAAAGAAGGGAAAAAAGGGGGTCGGAGCAGCCACAGAGAAGGCTCTCCTCCGGGTAGTCGGCATTGGCCGGTGGATGGGATTCGGAGGAGGCCTAATCTGTGGGATCTGATCGGTCTATTGGAGGTAATTGGCAGCAGGTGGTCTCTCAAGTTGACTCACACAGGTGACTAAAGTCCAAAAGAGCAGATAAGGGACTTTGGCTCCCATGTGGGATTTCTGTCCTTGGGCGCAGAAGCTCTCTTGAAGTGCCAATGTCTGCCTGTCATTTGATTGGATCTACAAACTGGGGGAGAAGGTTGCTGAACTGTCCCTCCCGGTGTCCCTCACCTTTTGGCCAGCTTGGCTGGGCTTCTATAAATGGGGCACCCCTCGGAGACGGTGCGCCAGAAATTCTGCTGAGAGGGAAAATTGGCTCCAGTGGAGGGAGACCTTTGCTTCTCCCTGATTGCGAAGAAAAAATGAAAATGTCAGGGAGGTTTAATGCCTCAGAAATGAACAGCGCTGCCATTTGGCAGTGAGGTGTGGAGTTGTTGCTGCGTGGCTGACTGATTCTTTCCAATTCTTTCAGAAGGACAAGAGGACACAATTCTGTCGTACGAACCTGTGATGAGGCAAGAAAGTAAGTTGGCAAAAAGGCAGGTCCACCGTCTTCTTCTTTCTGGAGGACAGCTTTAAGCTCTCAAAAGATTTCTGCACGTTATTTTCCCCGATCAGCTTTGAATGTCACAGCTGGTCTCCAAAACTCCTCCTCCTCCTCTTTTGCTCTGCCTTTCTAGTTCACTACGCCAGGCCAGTGATTGTTTTGGGGCCCATGAAGGACCGAGTCAACGATGACCTCATCTCAGAATTCCCACACAAGTTTGGATCCTGTGTGCCTCGTAAGCGATGGCTCCCTTGTCATTTCTTTCGGGGTGGTGGGTGAGATTTAAGGGAAACGTACGCCTTCCCAAGCGATGCGGTAGGCCCTGTGCTCCAGATGTTTGGCTGATAAGAGGATGGATGTTCACATCCATCAGCTGGTCCTCTGCTTGCAGCGGAGGTTAAAAGGCCAGGCTGCGCGGTCAAGGTCAGCCATGCCTGCCGATTGCGTCAGAAGGGCACAGCTTTGGGCCCACTGATGCCGCCGCGCTCTGAACCGCAGAAAAAGCCGTGCGTTTCCTTTTCAGACACCACCAGGCCACGACGTGAAAACGAAGTTGACGGACAGGATTACCACTTTGTGGGCTCACGGGAGCAGATGGAGAAGGACATTCAGGACAGCAAGTTTATCGAAGCCGGGCAGTTCAACGACAATCTCTACGGCACCAGTGTCCAGTCTGTGCGGGCGGTGGCTGAGCGGGTGAGTCCGGCACCGCGGGCTGTGCCCATCCTTGGTCAAAATACCGCACGGCCAAGTGGCCGCTCGGGACTCGTGCCATCATTCAGTTCACGCATTACCTGCATGGTGTCCGCTGTCAAACCAGCAGCAGACTCTGCGCCAGGTTTTGGATCAGCTTGTTTTGAAGCCGATCACAATCTCATTTAAGCCCTAAAATACCGGAAACAAACAGACCACCCAGTAAGCCATTGTCCGATGGCCTTGTCTCTGCTGCTTCGGGTTGTGGTCCTCCTGATGAGTTTGGGGCAGGGGAGGGGGGGCAAAGCTTCTTGAAAGTGCCATGCGCGGGCCGTGAGGTTAACAGGCGTCCTGCTCTCCCGCAGGGGAAGCACTGCATCCTGGATGTGTCGGGCAATGCGATCAAAAGATTGCAGCAAGCACAGCTGTACCCGGTTGCGGTCTTCATCAAGCCCAAATCCATCGAAGCGCTCATGTGAGTTAACAACACGGAGGTTTTAGCGGTTGGGTTTTTTAAAAAAACTTTTTATTTATTCCTCCAATTTACGCCTCACCCATCTCACTGGCTGAGTGGCTCTGGCTGGTTTATCAGTCCAAACATGAATGCGCTTACCTGGATGCTGCTACCTTTGAGGGCCGTGGACCAGCAGAGGAGCAGGACTTCTCCAAAGAGGAGGCCGGAAAGTGCAGTGGTTGCCGTGGGAGGGGCAAGCGGACTGCAGTTATCACAATCATGGGGTTTTTGTCCACGTAGTGCATCCGACTCTCCCTTCAGGCTTTTTGATTGACAGAACCGTTATTGGGCTGCAGGTGGATTTAAAACCTACTTAGGGGTTACCTTTCCCTGCGCTCGGATCCAATAATTGCCGGTCTCGGTTTTCTCTGTGTCGTCCACACCATCCGTCGGCCATGAACTTTCTCCTAAGGCCGCAGCCCTCCCGTTTCCCCTCCACCCTTGTCCGTTCAGGTGGAGGTGAGATGCCGATGTGCCCTAGCGGCCCAGGAGACCCTCAGAAAGCGGAGGAAAAGTCCGATTTCGGACAGTGGCAGAAGCAGAGGAGCTCCGGCCAGGACTGAGGCTTTTGTCTTGAGGCTGTTTTTTTCCCCTCCTCCCTGCAGGGAGATGAACCGGAGGCAGACGTACGAGCAGGCCAACAAGGTCTTTGACAAAGCCATGAAATTGGAGCAGGAGTTTGGAGAGTACTTCACAGGTGAGAGTTCTCCTGGGTTGTGAGCTTGTGGTGGGGACTCCCCCCCATCTCCGTAGTTGCCTGCTTCACCACAGGAATGGGGAGGAGTATGCCGAACAGGTTTTCCTATGGGTAAAAACGGGGCGATCATGCGAGATCGGGTTAGTTGCTTGCAGCTTCCAAGGAGGCAGCGGGGGAAGGAAAGTAGTCAACCTCTTGTGTTTTACTCCCGCAGCCATTGTACAAGGAGACTCCCTGGAAGAGATTTACAGTAAAATCAAACAGATCATCGAGGACCAATCTGGGCATTATATCTGGATCCCATCCTCTGAGAAACTGTGATGTCCCCCTCCCTTCAATCAACCCACTAGGAGATCAGCGACCCTTCCCCCCCCGTCCTCTGCCCCAGAGGGGGAGCGAGAAGGCCACCCCGTCCCTTTTCTAGATGGTTGACAATTGCGTTTTCTAGTCCTGTTTTTTCTTTTTCTCGGGATGGGCCAGTCTCCTTCATCAAGTGACTGTCCCCACCATTCCTGCATGGACTATCCTGCTGCTCCCCTAGAAATGGGGACAACACCCTATTTGAGAGTTTTCTGTGTTTTTAATTAAGAAAATACGTCAACTGTTGAAGTCAGAAAGCAAGGCAGGAGGTGGCAGTGGTCAAGGAGCCTCGAGAGCCACCGACGCGACACATGGACAGTTCTTGCCCCTCTCGGTAGAGTGGAGACTGGCAGCCTGTCAATTTTACCAAGAAGAAAAGGCAACAGAATGCTTTTATTTATCTAGATATGTAATTTTATATATATAATATATGCTCTGAATATATACATATATATGACTAGAGAATGTTCTGAATATAGTCATGTATATATATATATATACACACACACAGGCACGCACACGCGAGACTAGAGAATCCAAGGAGGCTGCTGGAATGTTCTTTGCTAGCGAAAGAATTGCCACCCTGCCTCAGCCATTGGGACAGAAACCGCTGTGGAAGTGGAATTCATGGTACGGAGCGTTTTGTGGTTCTTCCAAAGCCGATTGCTGCGTTTGGAAAGAGAGAAGCCAGCACTCTGGAGCAGACAGAGGGCCCAGAGCCACATAAACAAACGACAACAATTTATTTGAGCACGCAAAAGCAAAAAGATAACGCTACATATTAACTGCACATTGTTTTATGTCACCTGATGTGTTTGCATGAGAGGTTTTTTTAAGCTGCTGTTAAACCAAAATCATGTTTGTGTTGGTGTGTGTTGGCTTTTCATTATTCCAAGCTTTTTGATTTTAATAATGAACTGAACGGGTATACAATCCAGTTTTTTAACTTATTTTTTAAGATTGTCCCATTGTAAATAGTTTCCAGACCCAACCTACAGACCGTGCGGGATGAGCACAGCGGCGGCTGTTCTGTGTTGCAGTCGGGTCCCTTGGAAGAGACTCGACTCCGTCCCACTGACTCGTTCCGTGGGAGAGCCTGGAGCGGCTCCGTGCAGTGGGAAGCTGGACGCAGCAGGCGGCGTGAAGAGAAGCTTGTGCCTTGGAGGGTCACTCTTTCAACCATGTTTTCAGTGGAAAATTGACTCAAGAACCTGGGAAGTTCTTATTCTAGCAGAATTGTGCCAAATTCTGGTTGCAACACTTGAAGCCCTTCCTGACCAAGCTAATCCTTGGAGGCTCCGTGAAGAATCGCACCCTCCGTCTCCTTTGTGCTTCTACATGACCCTCGTTGCAGAGACGGACCCTGGCCGTTCCTTGCTGCCAACATCCGCTTGCAATTCTTAGGATAGCAAAGGGCAAGTGCAATTGAGAATGCGCTCTCCGTGTGGCACAGACTGTTAGTCTTCCGTGGACTGCGGCTAGCTGCTAATGGGAAGCCTTGGTTTGTGGTCATGTCAGTGTGTAGACTGTAGGTGCAAAAAAGGGTTTGTTTGTTTTTCTATTGCCGAACAAGAGAGTAAGTTGGATTTGTGGAAGTTCTGGGTGGAGTGTCCAAGCGTTGCTAGACGGGTGCGAGCCCTTGCCCGTGGGCCAGAGGAGGAGATTTGCCCACTTTTCGCCATCTTGCCCCAATCTCAAGTTTGAAAGGGACGATTGTACACATCTCGTTTCCATGGAGCGAGAGCCACGGCTGCTACGGGAGGAGAGATCCGAGTTGTCCTGGTCCCAATCCTCCGGGTGGGACGAGGCCTCGGCTTGTAGCCGGTCGATGCCGTCCGCTCCATAGCTGGTAGGTAGCTATATCATTCATTGTGTGATTTGTGCACGGCCTTCATTGTTAAACATGGGTGAAAACTGTCATCTTGCGGAGAATCATTCTGGTAAGCGAGAAGCCATTCCCACATCAGCTGTGTTGCAAGAAACGTCAAGTGGAACTTCGGAAGGACCAGAGCGGCTGTTCACTGGTGAAGAGTCGGGAGGAAGCTGCTGTCAGGTACGAGAATCCCTGGGGGTGGAAGGCTTTGGGAGAGGCCACCCCCCGACTTCCTCTGCTCAGCCGGTGTTTGCAAGACACGTTCTGAAGAACCGGACTATGCATCAATAGAAACAGCGCTCGAGGTGGCTCGTCTCCGATGACTTTTATTTTGTAATAGCCGGTCACTGTCTTCTAGGCTCATGGAGGAAGCCTGCCTCCTCCATGGCATAGCTGAAAGTATCCAACCATGACACTAGTTGGTTTACCAGTGTTTCTTCCAAGGAGACATATATTTTTAATAAACGAACATTGCAATGAGCTGGTCTGCTGCTGTTTTCTTGGGAGGGCCTTGGCTTTGTGGGTGGGAAGGGGGCAAAATTGCCTTGTAGGGCTTCACGGGCCAGAAACAATCCGACGCTGACGCTTCCATCCTCCTCACAACACCACAACACGGCCTTTCATTAGTGCTCTAGAATCCTCTTTTAAAGCTGTTTTGCTGGATTCTTTTGATTGTCACTTTCCACTTTTGGTGGAGTCGCAAGCCAGTCGCTACACCGACTCTAGTACTTGCAAAATCAGAAGTTGTGACAAATGCAGTCACGTAGCATAGTTATTTGCACAACTCAGTAAACAGCTACCTACTACTAATAGTAATGTAGTAGTCTCTGGATGCTTGAGGAACTGCCTTCATCGCTGTGTTCATGAGATTCAAAGTTGAGCATATGTGGTACACGAGATAAGGAGCTGAACTGTGGAATTGAACTTAAATTCTGCTCCATTTGTGAATTGCTTGTGGAAGCAGCCTTGAGCTTCTAGGAAAAAATCGGCAGCACAAATGTATAATTACAAAAAATACACCAGGGAAGACAAATGTATTTGTAAACAATTAGAACTCCTTTATTCAACTTCCATGTTTGTGAAGTATCCTCCACGGAATAACAATCCCGCTTGCCAGTTCCAGCCCAGCGCAGGGCAACTGGTGGGGACCAGGGTCCCCCTCACTCTTCTTTGGAATGGAGTCCCTTTGCTTTGTCCAGTTTGTCCAGCACCTCACCGTAAACTCCGACCATCTGTGGACAAAGGTCACCCCAAATTCTTGAACAAAAGGGCTTGGAGGTCTGTGCAGCTCAGCCCTTCCATTAGCTGAAGCAGCCAGGAGAACTGGGGGAAGCAACAGGCACGAGGACTGTTCAAGGCTGCCTCTTGTGCCTGCAGTTCCTCAGACTCCTTTCCAAGGGCTGCTGAGGAGGCGGCTGCCACGGCTGCTCTTGGGGAAAGGGCGGCGGCTGCTTTAGTTGCCGACTGAGGCATTTCCACCCCTGAAACAAAATTTTTGGAAATCCCCCTACTCTCCACTTGATACTAAATCTCAGCAAGCAGCTTTCTTCCCCCAGTCACGTATGGTAGAACTGCTGCGTTTGTCCTCCTTTACGACGGGCCATTTCGGAGGGTGCTCTGGCTGTGATTAATCCCTCTACTCGTGTGCCCACCCACCCACCCGCCCTCACCTGGTTCTCGTAGCTGTCCTTCAAAGTCCCCAGGTAGGCCAAGAACCGCATTCCTAGGCCACACCATTGCTCTGCCTCCTTATATTTCCCAGCACAGTACTGGTATATTCCTGTATTCCAAGCTCTAGTCATAAGCCAGATTATCTCCACCTCTGGATAACTGGACTGCAGCACCTGCTAACGTTCAAATGAACATATCACAGCTTTTAGCCCCAGCTTAGTGTTAATGAAACCAAGAAGGGCAAAAACACAGCTGTATTTTGCTTTAATGCTTGCTGGGCATGTGAACCCCCGTGCACACAAGCTGCCTCATTTAGCTGCCTGGACAGAAGTGGGGCCCACCGAGAGGATGCTGTTCCCATCCACCTGAGTGCTGCAATGTTAACGGGAAGCCAGGCGAATATTCTGTCGTATCAAGATGCCCACTGGCAGACTTTCAAGATTCCTGTCACCGAAAGAAGCTTCGTGATACTAACTGTGTTGTCCAACACGGTCAGGGCGTCTTCGAAACAGGCCCAGGCCTCCTCCAGCACACACACATCTGCCTCAATGGGGCCGGAGGGCAGGGAAAGGTGGACCAAGCTGTGCAGGCATTTGCTGAGTATGAAATACAATAGGAGGACAGGCCTGAGGGAGGTTAAGCCCCTGTGAAGTACCTCCTTCTTCCTGCCTGCTTTGCAAGGCACCCAAACCTCTTGCTGGGACACCCCTGTCCAGCCTTCTCCTCACCACAACTCCGGGGACCTTCATCAACAGGGAAGGAAAAGGCAGGTGTTCCCTTCCGAGTTTTCGGAAAGAAGCAACCTTCAAGGTCCTGAGTGAGGGATGGATCCCTAGACCCTTTTTTTTCTCTCTCGAGGAAATAGTCAGAATTTTACCCCTCTCCACCCACGCAGCCAGGATCAACGCTCCTTAACGGCCCCGGCTGCTTACCTGTAGGCGACGGCATCAATCGATTCACCTTTCCTGAGGAGAGTCAAGATCATCCTGAGGGCCCTCTTGCACACGGAGGGATAGTGAGCGGGAGGTTCCATGGCCAGGGCTTGAGGAAGAAGCCATGAGAGATAGAGACACCTTTCAAAGGCAACTGGGTGCACCTGCCCTTGATAACGCCGCAGGGCAGCCGCTCAGAGGAACAGGCTGCAAGCACAACATCGATGGTGGGAGGGGGGGGAGGGGCGGGGGGGGGGGTTAATCCCAGAAGCTTCAACTCCACTTCTGCTGTGGCTTCCCTGCCTCAGACTCATGGAAGCAGCAGCTGTCCTTGAAACGCAAGATTACCCCCCAGGAAGGATGGTGGGAGCAGCAGGCTGGCTCTTACAAGCAATGGTTTGCAGAGTCTTGATCTCCACCTGCGGAAGCGCCAGCACTTCGTCCAGCAGCCTGGGCACGGCAGGGGAATTCAGCTTGGCGCTGGCTTCAAATTCATAAAGCTGTAATATTGTATCTGTGGGGTCCTTGGGGAAATCGCCTAAGGAGCAAGAAAACAAGTCCCATTTTAGTAGCTCATGAGGTATGACCGGGAAGGGGGGAGGGAAACAATCCCCGTCAGTACGTACAGTTTCAGCACAGCAAAGAGGAATTCAGGTAGGAGAGGGGCATTTCCCAGGCTATGAAGCCATGAGAGCGGACAACGCTATCTGGATTCCGCTAAAAGATCAGGAAATGTCTCGATTCCATAACTTCAGGCTCACTTCTCAGTTGACACGGAAGTTCAGGGCTCGGATAACTCCCCAATCTGCTCTGAAAGGGCTGCAGCCTTCCTTGAAAGGGTTCGAGAGACTATTGCCTGAAACAGGCCTGTACTCCTGACAGATTTCAGCCGTGGAGCAAGCAACGTCCTACTGCCATCGATAAGTAAGGCAAACGGGTTTCGCCATTAATTTATTTTGGAACTGTAGAAATTCTAGCTCACCTGTCTGCTTCAAGAGTTTCCAGATTGCTCTGCAGGACTGGATGTAGTCGAGGGCCTGAGTCAGCAGTTCAGCCTGCTTTGGAAGCCAACAGAACGTCAGGTAAACCGCACGTGAGAACATCACCATGTTTGTTGGGAGTGTCAGAGAGAGAATGCATTTCCTGATTTTTTTTGCATACGTAAACTTATCTATTGATTAATTATCAATGCCTGGATATGTATGTATGTATGTATGTATGTATGTATGTATGTATGTATGTATATGTGTATATGTGTGTATATATATATATATATATATATATATATATTTTTAAAGTCACAACCCCTGGTATGCCCAAATATGGGAGGAAGATCACTACTTCACCCAATATTTTTTACTGTTGCCTTTTTGTTACATTTGTTATATTTATGCTGATAAATAAATAAAG